CCAGCATCCGAAGCAATGGGTGTGGTAGTGTCCATCCCTAGATGCATCATCCATGCAAGTTTGTTCATGGTAGAGCTTATAGTTACTTGGGAATGGACCTGCTCCAAAATCTTTAACCTGGTCACTCATCCGGAAAATCTAGGTCAAATCCAGCATCCGAAGCAAGTGTGGTAGTGCCCATCCCTAGATGCATCATCCATGCAAGTTTGGTCCAAGTAGGGCTTATAGTTACTTGGGAATGGACCTGCTCCAAAAACTTTAACCTGGTCACTCAACTGGAAAATCTGGGTCAGATCCAGTATCCGAAGCAAGTGTGGTAGTGTCCATCCCTAGATGCATCATCCATGCAAGTTTGGTCCAGGTAGGGCTTACTTGGGAATGGACTTGCTCTTAAAACTTTAACCGGGACGCCGACGCTAAAGCCGATGCCGACGCCGGGGGTATAGCACAAGATCATCTCGACTTCGTCGAGGTGAGCATAAAAGTGTTACACATAGATGGAATGTATAAATTTAGGACCTTGAACTCTGACTTTTTGACCTCAAAATCAAAAGAGGTCTTCCTTAGGCCACAGGGAGTTGTTATGTAAAATTTCATTGCAAAAAAATCAAAGGATTCTAGAGATATCGCGTGGAAATGAAAGTGTTAAAACAGACAGAATTTATGAATTTATGACCTACCTTTGGACCTCAAAATTAATAGGGTTCTTTTTTAGGCCATAGGGAGTTGCTATGCAAAATTTCATTGCAAAAGCTCAAAGGGTTTTTGAGATATCGCACGGAAACGAAAGCATTACAGACAGACAGAAATACAGACGAACAGACGGACGGACAGACAGACCCAAATTAATATCCCCCACTTTCAGTGAAAGAGGGGGACAATAATCTAGTAGTGTGCACCCCTAGATGCAATATTTATGCAATTTTGGTCTGAGGCCAAAATAAATACTAGTCTTGCACATGACCCTTAAGTTTTTTTTTAGTTTTGAAAAAAAAAAAATCGAGAAATTCCGGAATTTCCCTTTATAATACCTATTTTGGCCCCACCATACCCCTGGGGGTTGTGATTTGAACAATTAGAATCTACACTACCTAAGAAAGCTTCCACATACGTTTCAGCTTTTGTGGCCCAATGGTTCTTGAGAAGATTTTTAAAGATTTTTTTTTCTATATATTTCACTTTAAAACTTGGATTCCCTATTGTGGCCCAACCCTACCCCCTGTGGTCATGATTTGAACAATTTAGAATCTACACTACCTCTGGATGCTTCCACATAAATATCCAGCTTTTCTGACCAAGTGGTTCTTGAGAAGAAGATTTTTAAAGATTTTTTTTTCTATATATTTTAATGTAAAACTTGGATTCCCTAATGTGGCCCCACCCTACCCCCAGAGGTCATGATTTGAACAATTTAGAATCTACACTACTCCAGGATGCTTCCACTTAAAGAACTGCGAACGATAGTATTGTTCTCCAAGGTACCTCCAAGTCAATTTTCAAAAGTTAACACATTTGAATGATTTTCCTTATCTATATAGATATTTATATGAATTTTCATAAAACGTTACTTCTTTGGTAAAACTTGTGTTTTTCACCATAGAAATCAACGGAAAATATTTTTAAAACATCTCTCATTCATGTTAATAATTCAAACTCCATGTCACCAAAGGATGCTTTGTGTCAATTTTGATAAAATTTGGCCAGGTGGTTCTTGAAAAGAAGTTGAAAATGTGAAAAGTTTACTGACAGATGGATGACAGACAACTGGTGTTCAGAAAAAGCTCATTTGAGCTTTCAGCTCAGGTGAGCTAAAAATGGAATCAGCATTCATTTATAATACTTCTTTTGCATCTCTACTTTTGTTTCGGTAATCGCTGAAAATTGTTAACGTCTTGAAAACTAATCTGACCAACGAAGGCCATGTTACGCTCTTCAATCCCTTTTGTTTGCCTTAGGTGAGGTTCAATTTTTTTTAACGAAAGAAAAGAACTAGTTTTTGACCTGAACTAGGCTACATAATGTCATCATTCACTGTATTAGACAACTGAATGAACATTCAGAATTATTGCTTCCAGGCTATATCAACAAAGATCACTCTTCAAAAGATTAAATCAAGCTGCGATTCAAAGTCAAAGTATGAGCATGAAAAATATTTATATTTGTAATAACGGTTTTTTGTTAAAAGTGTTTTTTTTTTTTTCATCCCATTTGGTAGTTCAATTATTGCAGTTGTCAATTTAGGCAATAATTACATATATATCATCTTAAATTGATGCATAAAACAACGCCCAAAATGCTACCTCTTTTGGGGTATGAATCTCCATCTTTTTCATCACAGTAGGTTAACATGTATGCTAGGAACGGACACAGAAATCTCTAAACTAAAAAGTAATTTTAGTGCCTACAGTGGCTGCAACGTTATTGTTGACAATTCACACAAATGATCACGTTACACGAATGATTCCGCATGATTAACGCACGCTTAAACCTGTTACACGAACGATCCTGCACGCACAGGATTCTACACGTTACACAATCTTTCACGATTGCTAATGCAAACACACGATTCTTCATGCAAAATAGTTAAAAATATTTAGGAGTGGATATTTTCAAAACGAAAAATTTAGACTTAGTATAGCTATTTTATATTACAAATAATTATTGATGCAATTGATTGACTTCAGAAAACTGAAAAAAAAAACTATTTAGAATGGATATTTTTTAAACTAAATAAGATTTAATCGTTATTTAAGATTACAAATAATTATTTATGTAATTCTCTGACATTGGAAAAGTGATTTTTTTAAGCTTTTCGATAAGTACAGATGCAATTTATTATCGATTGCTGCATATTTTATTAAGTGTTATAGGTGGGCCGTGAAAATGGTGAGTTTTGATTCTATTGAATTTTTTTATATGCATTAAGGGCGGATAAGATTTTTTAAAATGGAATAAAATGAATTAAAACTATATCCATCTTTGCATTGGTGAATCTCCAAAAATAAGCAGTTATTTTACTATTCACTTATTCGCAGAAATTATAAAAATAAAGTATCAGGGATAAAATAACCATGACAATCATGTCGTGTACATTTGCCGACTTAATATTTCATTATGCATTGGGAATTATTTATTATTTTTGTAAAAATATACGTTTTTAATGCATTGATATAAAAAATATCTTAAACCACAATTAGCTGTAAACATAACTAACAACATAGAAAAAAAATCGTTAAATTTATTATTAAAAGTTATGCTATTTTAAGAGAATACAATATTGTATGACTTACTATATTGCTTACTTACTAGCAAAAGTTAGTTCGTTCAATATTTACCATGCTCCATTTTTTTTCTTATTTCAAGTAAAACAGACAATAGAAATGCTTGTTTAACAAATAACATTCTGATAAAAACTTACAAAATGAAATTTGCACATTTCTTACCGCACTATCACGCACGATTAAAACCACAAACGATTGAGCCTGATACACACACAGTTTCTCAAGTTACACGAACGATCACGCACATTACATGAACGATTCTACACAATTGGTATGTCAACAATAACGTTGCAGCCACTGTATGGGCAAACACAAAAATCTCGAAACTTAATGGTTATTTTAGTGCATATAAACATGTACAAAAATCAACAATTTAGTGCCTAGGAACAGACACAAAAATCTCCAAACTAAATAGTAATTTTAGTGCCTATGAACTAGGACATGAAAATCTCCAAACTAAATATAGTAATTTTAGTGCCTATGAACAGACACAGAACACCTTCAATTTGTTGCTTTCATGCCAATGAAGATGGGGAGGGGTTACACAATCCAGGCCTTTCAAAAAGATTAGAAACAGGGGGTACTTTTTTAAAAAATAGGAGGTACTTTGTGGAAGTGATTGTTACTAAACTAAATTTGTTATCAATTTTTTCTCTATTGAATATACTGGACAGTACATTCATGATTTCAGCCTGGTAAAAGTACCAGGTACTAGTACATTTTGAAAGCCTGCATAATGATATTCTTTTTTTTCATGAATTGTTGGCTCAGGTCTTATTAAGGAGGTTGGATCCTGCCATCAAAAGTAATGAGAATTTTTTATCAAGTATATTTTTAGAATTTATACACATAGCTTAATTAAAAATCAAAACAAAAATTGGGGGTCAATGCGCTTCTTTTGGCGCTACAGAGCATTTGTTTGACCTTTTTGCACTGTAAATACGTCTTACACATAAATCAATTTGTAAAGTTTTTCCTCAAATATTTTCTATTCAAATAAATTATGGGAACAAACACAGTCCTATTTCATCTTGAATAGACACATTAAAATTTGTGACAATGAAAAATTTTTTGAAATTACTCCGCATGTTCAATTATTTGACCTTTTTGCACTCAAAAAATTTCATTATCCTGGCATTAGAACTTTAACACCAAAAAAAGCATTTGAAAGTAATGACATTTTACTGAAATTAAGAAGAATGGTTCAAAGCATCTTATATATTCAGAAAAGAAAATAAAAAGTGGGGGTCTGTGATGTTAATTTTTAGATATTACTAAAAAAGTGCTAATTTTAAGCTTAAATTAGGGATATTTTTTTCTTGATTTTCACAATATATTTGCTATATTTATCAAATATGATGATAGAATTCATGACAGTTTATTTAATACATAATTTAGGACCAGTATAAAACAGTTCACTGCACAAAATAACTCTTTGTGTAGACTTTATGTAAAAATAGGAATCCAAACTTAACATACTTTGAATACTTCGAAAGACTTCTAAAAAACCTTCCGCCACAAAATATAGTTCCTCACTTAATGCTTTTGGTATGGAATTTAATCATGGAGTTTTAACTGAGTATAGTTTAATTGGCATTGTAGAATCCAATTTTATTGCAAGAATTAAAACATCATGCAGAATTTATAAAATATAGGTTAAGATATAAATCTGCTCAAAAGCTCAGGAGCGAACCTCGTTAAGCTTTCATTAAAATTTACCTCTAGCCACTTATTCTTTCTATTTGTTCCTCTGTAATTTTTCTGAACTCTGTCAGTAAATAAATGTCTCTCCATTACTCTTTTCCAATGGTCCGTCATCAATCCATTTAAATCATATGTAGAATCAATTCCTATCCAACCCTTGAATGCTGTAGTACATGGCAATTCCTGTATGAATGAAAAAAAAAAATCTTTCCATTAATTCACTTCAAAATTTATGCAGAGGAAAAGATGTATCAATGAAATGTATCAATATCAATAAGTGCACAAGGCATACAAACCATGTGATTTAGAAAAGGTTTTTTTTTAAAGAAATGATGAGAAAATTAAATATAAAAACAATATCATGTATATATATATATATATATATATATATAGATATATATAGATATATATATATATATATATATATATATATATATATATATATATATATGTATGTATGTATGTAGGTCAGATCCAGCATCCAAAGCAAGCCTGGTAGTGTACCCATCCTTATATGTATCATCTCATCCATGCAAATTTGGTCCAGTTAGGGCTTTTGTTACTGTAGATCACCAAATTTTTGCAACACTTTAATATCGCAAGATGGCTATTTGGTATTTTTAAGCGAGATATAATTTTCATGATCTCCAGTTATTGTTCTATATAATCTTTTGTACAACAAATGTACGAGAGAATCAAATTTTCGCAAGCAGGCAGTCTCGCTTAATTATGCCAAACTAAAGTTCTTGCGAATAAAAAAGTGATCTACAGTACTTGGGAATGGACCTGCTCCAAAAACTTGGTCACTTATTTGGAAAATGTAGGTCAGATTCAGCACCGAAAGTAAGTGTGATAGTGTCCATCCCTAGATGCATCATCCATGCTAGTTTGGTCTAGGTACGGCTTATAGTTACTTGGGAATGGACTTGCTCCTAAAACTTTGTTGAGGTGATCTAAAAGACTTCCTATCATTTGATACATTTCTAGCATTATCCATGATAGGATGCCAATACAAGTTTTACTATACCTTAATAAATCCCCATCTACTGTTTAATTTACAAACAACAGCTGACTTGTATCTATAGTTAAAAACTTACATTTGGATCAGAACATCCTGGATAGTATTGGTTCTCATAAGGGAAATACCAGCCATATTGTCCAAAAGCACCCCATTGGTATCCATCATAGGATGTCATGTTATTGCTGTCAAAATAATGATAAAAATTAAAGCAATATGAGCTGCAACTTTGATGTTGAAAATTTTTGTTGCAATATTGTAGTTAACTAATTTAATGACAGAAAAAAAGAACATTAATAAACTTCTCTTCTTTATATTTGCGATGGAAGAACTAATTTTACGCCTTATTGAAGCAAAACTAAATTATCGTCGTCCTGTACAATATTGATTTCTTATATAATATTATACATTCCATACAGAGAAATCTTTCTTCAATCTGAAACAATTTAATACTTTAATTTACTCTAATTGATCCAGAGGTTTAAGTTATATACAGATTTATCATAACAGTGCATTTTAACAGCAAAATAAAATTCTCAAAAATGCAGCTCATATTGCTTTAAAACACAAAAAAATGGACATGATATGCCCCGCTAGGTTTTTCTGAAAAAGGTACAAGTCATTAAAAATATATTACGGATCTAAAGGTGTTCAAAATTAGCTAACATTGACATGCAGTCAAAATATAATTGAAATCTAATTAATCTAAATTTAGTGAATGATGAGCTAAGCCAATACAGTCTAATAAAACATCAAAGTACAAATTATTACTGGTGTATAGTTTTTTATTAGATAGTAAAACTTGATGCACTGCAACCATCTGTCATATTTGTGAGATATGATGCTCTGCATTCTATGTGTGTGCAAAATTTGAAAAAAAAAATTGAAATAAAAATATATTATTATACAATATCAAATTAGTCTTGATAACTTTATAGTATACCAAATTCATTTTGAAAATAAAAGCTTAGAACCATTAACATGATCAAGTAGGGGTGCAACGATACACTAACCTCAAGATACAATATGTATCACAATACATGACAAGGTTAAAAAATCTTTCAAGTTTGTCATATATTTTTTTAAACTTGACAAGGTTGTATCAAGTGTTCATATTTTTGATAATAATTAAAATATCATTTTATTAATTTGAACTAGATTGATAGGTAGATCTTTGAGTTGTGACAATATTCTAAACCAGTGATGAACATTTCGAGGGAACTACAGGTAACTTAATTTCCTAATATTCTTCCTTTTAAATTGGAATGAAAAAGGAAGACATTCATTCTTTTATTCCTTTTATTTACGCAGAAAACCAGTTGTCATATTTCAAGTGTTAACAAGTTTTAGTCAACAAGACAGCAAATTTTCATTGAAATACATGCGTGATGAGATATTGTGTATTACCAAAGAATACGATTAGATCTAAAGGGTTTATCATTTGTCTTAACAACTATAACTTTTAATCACATAAAGTCCTTCTCTGTGTTAAATCTAAGGTCTGTAAGAAGCTGGAGATGAGTTTAACTGCTGTTAATGGATTATGTTGACCCTACGTTTTGCACGGAAGCCATTTTGAAATTGTAAACAAGGAAACAAAATGGACGATTCGGATAATTCTGGACCGATTGAACCGAACCGCGGTATCAGTTTAGTGTATCATGAATTGAACCACAAAAAAATATATCGCGATATACCGTCAAACGGTTTTTCATTGCACTCTTATGATCAAGTTATATATGCAATAAATTGCAATTAAAAGAGAGAACAGTTTTTCTGCCCAGTTCTCAAGGGACATAGATAACTCCTGCTTGATCATCTTTGCTAGCCAAAGGTTTTTGATCCACTACTCTCCTCTTAAACCCTTGGTATACAGTGCTGTAAAAAGTCAGGATTGTATATGTCACATGATCTTGAATCTTACCACAGATTGTGTCATCGACAAGAATAAAAAGCATATTTAAAAATAAAAGTAATTTAAAGGATAATTAACAGGCAGATAACGAGCGACGTTTATTTGTTATGTAGGGTGCAAACCTATCTGCAATATAGATTCTTGATCACATTATGTGCACATCTGCTTAAAGATGAATGACACCATAGCTATTTATAGAATTGCACGTTATCTTACGGAATGTTGTTTCAAGGTTCAAAATTAAGTGGAAATACTTACTAAATGTGACCATAAAATACATTTTAGAAAGTGTGTCACATTAAATACTAACAAAATTTATTGATAAGTTCCAGTTCGGGGCTTTGACCTGTCCAAATAAAAAGTGTTTGAATGACTGCTTGTCATAATTTTTAGGGCCAATCTGGGGCGAATAAACCTGTATTTTCCCAAAATACATTGGAACTTTTCTTAAAGAAAATCATACTAAATTTGAGATAACAATTGGTTTCTTTATTTCGTCTAATTCATGTTTCTCAATAAATTCAAGCAGTTTTAGGTTACACACTACTAATTTTACCCCTATTTCATTGACCACGCAAGTAGTGCCAGTTTAAAAATAGAGGTTTTTTCTTAAAAATTCTTTGGGATGTATATGGGGTGGAATGGGGTTATTTTTGAGCATAGATGGAAAGGAGAGGGTCTGAAAAAAATTATAAAATTGATAATAATGGGAAATTTTGCTTTTAAGCACATAGTAGGAAGGGTGTAAAGAGGCCCATGTTTACCCTTTCCTCGAAGGAAAAGTGATATAAGCAGGGTAGGGGTTATTTGTGATGCCATAGCAGGACTTGCAGACTATGAATTTTCCTGAGAGCCTGAAAAATTTTTGGACTTGAATTGTTGTTACTCTATGCCAAGTTTCAGGTAAGTTGAGCCGGTGTGATTTTTTAAATTAATTTTTACATCATAAAGGAATGTATAGCAAAATAATTGGTAGTCTGTGTCCTTATGCTGGTCAGCCATTTTGGATTTTTTCATTAGGTAATTCATACCACTATTGTTCTTGATGTAAGTTATAAGATATATGTGAAATATTATTGAGTTGTTTGTCAAAGTAATACTAAAATTTAAAATTGCTTCTCATACGACAGGGGTTTTCTTTAAATGCCAGTTTAGCCTAATTGACGCTGAAATTCTCATTTCTATGGTTCCCAGCCCCCCCCCCCCCCCCCCCCCAAATAAACATTGCAGATATTTTTACACTGGATACCGCAAGCTTGAATTTACCATTATTGAATATTTACTTTTGCTGTGTTTTTCTACTATACCTACTAAGAAATTGATTTGAATGTCATTTTTTTGTAAACTCATGCATAGAAATAAACTCAAGCTAAAGTGACATCACAATGAGGCTACAAAGACGTTTAGAAAAGCATAACAAAAAAGGGCAGTGAGAAATTCAAACAATGAGTGTATTTTTGCTGCTTTTAAACAAGCAAAATCTAAATGTAAACATAGAATATATGTAACAATTTACAATAGCTCATCAAGAGGGTTGTGGTTAACTTTTGAAACCTTAGGGGCCATGTAGGCTCCTAACTTTTCAAATTTTACGGGCCCACAATGTGATCCAGAGGCCCACATTATATTTAAATTAAAAATAATAACAAAAATCCTAATTTTTTCCAATTGAATTTTTAATTTGTAGTATTGATACGAATTGATTGTTCACAGTATATGAATTTTTGTCATGTTTTCTCTTTTATAAAAACTTTGATCCGGTAATATATTCATCACGTATTGTAGTGTTTATCTTACACAACTGAAGCACCTATGGTTTAAGAAGGGGGCATATTTAATAATAAATTACATACAACCTGTGATGAAGTTTGATCCGATCTTTTATTGTATGCCTTTGACACAGTAATTCAAATTCTGTGAATAATTAGTCGGGATGGAGTGTGTGACAACCATAGCCAATTGTTACAATATTTCTGTTAAAACAATCTCAAACATTTACTCTTGTATCAACGGAGATTTAACTGCTACGATAAATCGCAATGTTTGATCTCAGTCAAGTAGATGTTTGAATAATATGCTTGTAAGCAACACAAAAAATAAAGGTTAATAGAGCATTTTCTTAAAAACTGAAAGTACATAAAATATAAAACTGAAATGTGATTATGTTCCGGAAAAAAATTGTTCGCCATGTGGGCGACCAGATATTTAATATCTAATTGCCCACTGCAAATTTTACTAGCATTTGCTAGTGGACGAGTGCTTATCCACAACCCTGATCAATTGGAAAGGCTGTCAAATACATGTACTTTAACTAAGTGTTCTTTTATTTGATTTTTTTTTTCAAGATTAAAAATTATGAGCTTATGTTTTAAAATTATTTTTCAACTTTATGATGTGGAGTCTGAGAGTCCATATCATGCCATCCGTTTAAAAGGTATATTATAACTACAAGGTACATTATGTATGTTGTTTGAATTAGGGCTGTCACGGTTCCAAAATTTTTCAGGTCAGGTCAGTTCTGTAAATTTTCGGTTCGGTTTCGGGTTTTTCAGGTCTGGTATTTACATCTATTATAAACCTTAATTTCAAGAATTTAACTTGAAAAATCTTTATTTGTTACATTGAAAACAAGTCTTAACCAGGCGAACGTCTAGACATCGGTGACTTGGCCTACTATTAGCTACAACCTGACCATTCCTGCTCGTTTTGATAATTATCTAATACTTCCTTGACAAGTGTTTTGTCATGGAATGAAGTAGATTTCAGTTGTGATGTTTATTTATCACTGTTATCGTCATCATTTCTTTGATTTCGACACCATTTTTTGTATTGAACAGACTCTAATATATAAACCAGACCCAAACTGAAATCCGAAAAAATGGAACCGGAACCGAACCGAACAACTTGAACCGCGGTTCTCGGTTATTTCGGGTACTCGTGACAGCCCTAGTTTGAATCGTAAATAATCATATTGTAAAGAACCAAACCCCTCTATTAATTTTCTCGTTTTCATTTAGAACGCCTTTACTTTAACTCCCAAACTCGCCTTTCATTAAGAAGTTTTCTAGGAAAAATATTTAAAAGTGTAGAATTAGTTTTCATGGCGTGACAGCGTAATTTTGTGAAAAGCAGAAGAATTATATCAAAAGCGGAAGGGTAACTGCATATTACAGCAATAGCCCCTGCGAGATGATATTCATGACTTTATGAACTTTTATGAGTTGTTCATCATTGTTCATGAATGCTCATAAAAGATTCATAACAGCTTCA